GCCACACAGACTGGCAGACACTGAAGCTTCAGAGCATCTGAAGCAAAAGCGCAGCAGTATAAATGTGCAGGATTAAAACTGCTGCAGTCAAAGTAGAGACGTGTAAGCTAAACGTACTTTAAGCCACAGAAGTATTGATCAATGCAAGACATTTGAATGTATTTATTTCTATGTTGTCATTTTTTATGTTTTAAAATATCCACATCAATACTGACTTGAAAACCTGGAAGATATTAATATGATTTATTAATAAAAATCTGTAAAGTGTTCAAATATATTAATAAAATATTTGACAAACTGTATTGTAAATTGTTCAAAAAACTTTGGCAAATGGAAATAATTCCCCTATCATTAAAAGTAAGTATGAAACTTGATAGATGCTAGTACAATATTCTAATTTACCACCTAGATAGAGCTAAAAGCTAAATAACCAAATCAAATACCAGTCTTAACAATGCAAAACCTTTTTGATAAAAAATATACCTCATTTTAAAAATCATTACAGATATGTATAGATAGATAATACCAGATAGATAGATTATACGCGTGCACCAAGCACGTGATGCAGCTGAGTTCTACTGTTATCAATATTTTTAACAACCTTCACTTAAATCTGCTTAAAGTGGCGCAGTCTGAAATCTTATATTGACTACACAACGTGAATGTGCAGACAACAAGATGCTGCGCATAAAACACATTTTCACTCTGTGGTTACACAAGAAGACAAAGATTGCTGACAACACTTTGACACCAAAGCTCAAGCTTCGTTTTCTTGCTTCTGCTCCGGTGTTTCCCGTTAAATTCTAACAGGAACCAGTATTTAACCGGTCCCTCATTCAAATGAGTAACCCTGTAATCCACGGGATGGATTATAAAGTGTGGCCAAAGTTAATCCTGAAGGATCACATGGACCCCTCATGCAGGCAACTTTGGCCCAATGAAGTGTCCATGTGAACTCATCAGTTTTCCCCTGTCCCCCCATAATGTGGTCCAGACCTGCCCAGCTCCGAGCTCAGGGTGTAGAACTCCTCCACCGTCCCGTCCCGCCTTGATCCGTCCACCCAGAACTCCACCGGCTCCGAACCAGGCCGGGACGTCGGCATGATGATAGCAGACCTCCCCCAAACCAGTACCAAGAAGACCGGGACCGAGTCAAAGATCACACCAGTTCCGGGACCGGTTCAGACCGGGCCAGATGTGACCCGATCAGAACCAGGAACAGAGTAATCCCGATCAGATCTCAGATTTAAATCCAGCTCGGTAAAACCCAGATTAGAGTCATGGAGGGGGGATGATTCATGATCCTGATGGGCTTTAATCCAGACCAGCAGGGGGAGGAGGAGGAGGGGGATCCGCCTGCTCCTTCAAACTCTCAATCAGGACCGTTTATCTGTGAGGAAAGGGCAAAAACTAAAAGAAGAAAACAAATACACCGAACCCCCGGTGATGAGCTCGGCTCTTTAGTCCAGACTGAAGCTGGAGCCGGGATCCAGACGTTCCAGGTCCAGATGTGTCGCAGCTTCCATCGGGCCCTAAAAACCTCTCAGACGTCGGATCAGCTCAGTCCATCACCATCCTCCCGGGTTTAGGCTTAGTACCTCCGTGTTTTCACTGGCAGAAACGGACCGTCCGTCTCTCCGGAGCGCACCAGCCTCCCTCCGGAGATGCAGCCCACAGAGCCACCACAGCAACACCGAAGAGCGGGTACGTGTCGGGAAACAGAC